TTTGGGGGGCTCCTTATTCGAATTATAGTATAATGGGCCCCAAAACCCTATTCTAATGATCAAGGCCCTTAGATTAGGTTTCAGGGTTTAGGGTTTGGGGTGCGCTAAACTTGGTCCTGGTCAGCGAACTGAGCCACCGGTCGATGGCTCTCACGGCCTCTTTGGACCCCTCCATCTTGTGCACACGGTTTGCGTCTATGTACAGAGACCCCATGAGCCTGCTTGGAGGATCATGGGACTTAGTAAGTAAGGTTATAAGTACCCTCATTGGGGTTATAAGTATAGTTACCTTATTAGTAACCCTGTTACTAAGTCCCATGACCCTCCAAGTAGTTCGAGTTGGAGAGGTCAATTTTTGTTGCACGTAGCTGCTGTAGCCAGTCATTTTCAGCGCAAAGAAATGGTAAGCCCCCCGGATTCTCTGGGCCCCAATCTAAACCCTAAACCCTACACCCTAAACCCTAAACCCTAAATCCCAGCAGTGAGGTCAACGAGCTGGACATTCGAATTTCCTTCGGCTCGCGACAGCACTCGCTGAGCCTCATCAGGTCGCGTTCTGAAAGGAGTTTCAACGTTTAGGGTTAGGGTTTAGGGTTTAGGATTTCGGGTTATCGTCGTTCTCCGGTATGCCAGGTGTAACATAGGGGCCTTAAGACTTAAGAATTACCTATACTACTATTTTGGGGGTTCCTTATCATGATTATAGCATAACGGGCCCCCAAAACCCTATTCAAACTGTTTAGGCCCGACATTAGTTATTTTGGTTTCAGGGCGGGCATTGTTGCGAAAGACAGCCTCTACAGAGTTTAGCATTATGCGGCTTGAAAATTTACCACGGGGGCTTGGCCAGCACTTCACTTCGAGCCATCTCTTGTCTCAGGTGTACGGCCTTATCTTCATCTGTTTCATCTCTTGCCGACATGAGCCTGTAATAAGCCCGGTATCACGCAAACAGCAACACAAGTCTGTTATGCCAAACTCCATGCACATGCTGGACGCGGTTGCAAGGGTGTTGCTCGAGCGCATGAACCTGCTGCTGAAGCGGGACGGGCATCTGGGCAGCATTCATCGGTCACGACATGATCTTGTCATGTTTCGCATTGGAGGTTTTGTGCGGTTTTGTCGGGCTTTCAACTTGGATTGTTTTTTGTTTAAGTGTGTGTGCGCCCGCGCGCCTTTGTGTGCGTGTCCATGGGGAAGGGCGCACGAGGAGGGTGCCGTGGTTTTCGCGTGACTCTGAGTCCTGCAGCCTAACGGCACTTTTCCACATGCACGAAGGTCTTGGGCCCAAAGTTCGACTTCGGTAGGCCCTTGCAGCCTTTGCCGCCACCTCTTTTTGTGAGTTCGGCTTCCGGCCGCCATGCAGAGCTCTGAAGAGGCGCAGGAGGTGGAAGTGCAGAAGAAGCTGCTGTATCACAGCTTACTACCGAGCCTCGAGGCTCCAGAGGTCAGCGAGGAGGCACGGCAGCTCCTTGTTGGCTCTAAACTCAACTTTTCAAGTTTTGGGGTTCTTATAAGGTAGTCGACTTTGAAAGGCTTCAACTGTTATTTCCTTGGGTTTTGGGGCCAGTGAGGCTCTACTTGGAGAAGTTGGGTGGTACGGACCTTTCTCTTGCGGCCCTTCGTGGGGATCAGGAGCTTTTGGAAGTGCTCTTGGCCTCCGGCGCACGCGATTTCCCGGATGTTTCGGGGGTGACGGCCCTCTACCACGCCGCCACTTAGGGATACTTAGAAATACGGTTTAGGGTTTAGGGTTTAGGGTTTAGGGTTTAGGGTTTAGGGTACTTAGAAATATTTTTTAATCTTTGGCTCCTATAAACCCTAAGAAGCAGCTAAAATCATAGTTTCTGCTAGGGGTCTACCTAATAGCCTCCATTGTAGTTCCTTTCCGGGGATACCTTGTAAAATCCTTAGTATATATTTGGTTAAGCCAAAAAAAAGGAACTACAATGGAGACTATAGGTAAGTTCAGTATAGGCCATGCGCGGCTTTGCAGAGATCGTGCGGAGCCTGGCGGTGGCCAACTCCGACCTCGAGGCTCGCTGCTCCGACGGGTCCACGGCATTGATCCAAGCGGCCTCTTAGTACCCCAATACCAAACTTTTAAACTTTGAGTTTGTTTTTAATTAAAAAACCAGAATCTACCCCCAATACCAGACTTTTAAGCCTTTTGGGTTCTTATAATTTAGTAGTAATCTGTTCCCCAATACCAGACTTTTAAGCTTTTTGGGTTCTTATAATTTAGTAGTAATCTGAAATTCCCCAATACCAAACTTTTAAACTTTTCGGGGTTCTTATAATTTAGTAGTAATCTGAAAGTTTAACCTTTTGTTTCCTTGGCTTATTGGGGAAGTAAGGCCTACGTCGCCAGCCAAACCGAGGGCCCGCGCCGCGCTGCCTGCGCTGTCGTCGTGTCAGTCCTGCGGGAGCTGGGTGCGGACCTTGCTCCCAAAGACAGCTGGGGCAAGACTGCCGATTATTACTGCCGGGGTGTGCCGGAACTTGAGATCGCCATCAAGTCTGAAGTTCTCGTCACATGCCCCTACCAGGATTGCCATCGAGCGTACCGAGTCAGGCGCGCAGACTACCGATGCCGCGTCGTGAGATGTGGCTGCGTGATCTTCAGGGGCCGCGAGTATCAGCTTCCCAAGCACGGGAGCCGGGCAGATCTCCGAGAATGGCTGCAGGAAAGTTGGGGTTGGGATGGCTGGCCGGGAGAGGTGCTGGGCTGTGGACGGCCGTTTCGTTTCCCAGACGATAGTGGCTTGGGCTTATTCCTTACCTGGTCCGAAGAACTGACAGGTGCTGAGCATCCCTCCACTGTTGATGCCGACGGCGACTACTCCATTGCAACATCAAATCTTTGACGAGCCGAGGGTGCGTAGAGGCTATGGCGGTCACGACTGAGACGGCGCCCCTGGCGCTGCGGGGCACCTCGTGAAACCCGGCACGTTGCCTGAATGCTGGGAAGCGACGGGTGAAACTGAAGCTGGACCGCATCCTCGCGCCGTGGGAGGCAAGCAGGAAATGAAATCCGATTGAACTCCTGCTGGTTTCTATCCTGGACTACCTGCTCGTGAGAGCCCCAAGACCGAACCACGGCAAAAGAACAGAGAAAAGGCTTTTCTGACTCCATGACATGAATCTGCATGAAGGATTGAAGATGTCTTCCGAACTCACGTTGTGCGCCAGTCCATAGGAGGGTCCTGAAGTGGCTCAGATGCCCTCGTTCAGAAGGATCCCGGCTGGCCTTTTTGGTGTTCGTGCAGGGCCCTCTCAGTCATCCAACCCTTATATCCCTCGAAGTGGTGAGATCCTTGCGTTGCACCTAGAGAGCCCAACTTACCTCATTTAAGGAATATACCTTTAAGGGTTCCTTCAAGGGATCTATCAGGGATCCAGAAGGGAGTGACGGAACAGGCCTTAAATCGTAATATTAAGGCCTAAGTCTATTCCCCTAAGGCTCCAGGTACCCATATAGGAGATACTTAGGCCTTAAAGTACCTATATAGGGACCCCTTTAAGGCCTAAGTATCTACTATAAAGGTACATGGAGCCTTTCGGTTCCTTATTTAAGGGGTAAGTTGGGCTCTCTGGACCCCCCGGCCCCTTCCGCTGCAGCCTTTATCCCCAAAGCGTACAGTTCTCCGATTTGGTAGGAAGATACAGCTAGTATAGGGGCCCTCAATAATTGCCTATACCATTTTTGGGGTTCCTTATCATGGTTATAGTATAATGGGCCCCAGAACCCCATTCTAACTTTTAAGGTTCCTCTATTAGGCATTCTGGTGGAGAGTCGCGTCCCCGAGGCGGCAGCCGTTTAGTTGTACCCTTCCGGGTGATGCAATGAAAGGTCATTGGTCGTTTCGGGGAGTTCGGAGGCAGGGACTGACAGGGGACTCGAAAATAGGGCCCTTAATAATCAGAATTGGGGTTTTGGGCGGGGGTTCCTTTATTAAAGGGATCCTTAAAGGGTTGTATGAGGGATCCATAATGGGGTTCTATAGTAGGGCCCTTAATAATTAGAATAGGGTCTTGGGGGCCCATTATACTATATTTTTGTTTTAAGGAGGCCCCCAAAATAGTATTGGCAATTATTTAGGCCCCTACATTAGGGGCATGTCTTCAGATACCGAGACTTCACCTAAACCCTAAACCCTAAACCCTAAACCCTAAGCCCTCACTCAGGAATACCGACCCGCAAAAGGCGCAGAAGTACAAGCTTCTGCAGAAGCTTGGACCCTTTTGGGGATCGGAGGTGTTGGTGTTTCCGGGGCTTTTGTACATCGGGGTTTGGGAATTCGGATTTTGGGTTTCAATTGTATGCTTCTGTGCAGGTATAGACCTGTCTGTGCTTGTAGGAGCCTGAGACTTCGGCTCGATAGGATTTTGGAGCGGCCATCCCAGCTTAAGCTTCGTTTTGGAGTGCAGCGGTGCAGCTGAAGATGGCGTGGGCGAGTCAGGCTAAGAAATGGCAGACGTGGCTTGGGATACTTGGAGGATCATGGGACTTAGTAACTAGGGTTATAAATAAGGTAACTATAATTATAACCCCAATTAGGGTACTTATAACCTTACTTACTAAGTCCTATGATCCTCCAAGTAGAGGTCAGCTCTGATTGGCGAGCTGCATCCGACCCAGATCCCTCACAAACTTGAACATGGTGCTTCGATGACCTTCTCAGAAACATACATATATATATATATATACAGGCGGTTATACGCACGTGTCCCCGTGTGTCTCTCCGTGTGCGTGCGTGTGTGTGTGTGTGTAGTGCGTGTATATATGTATGTGTGTGTGTATATATCTAGCTATATATATATATATATATGCGTGCGCCTGCCGGTGAGTGCATGTATGTCAATGTATGTGTGGGTCCAACTTATGGCATTAAACGGAGCAGCAACACGTACCAGACTACGTGGAGGCACTCTACTGATTTTCGCTTGAACAGAGGCCTGCAAACAACCAAGATTTGCGCATGCGCTGGCCTGCAAGAAACACTCAAAGCCCAGCAAGTTCACAGACACCCCAGCACCCTGATGGTCAACCCTTGGGGACCAAATGACTCTTATAAGTAATGGGCCCTATGCCCCTATACTATGGATCCCTATATTTTATACGAACCTGAAACCCTTTTCGGGATCATTTCGTCCTTAAGGACAAGAATGCTGCACCGAAATCTTGTAATCCAAACTACGCCTGGTGCAAGGAAGGAGCTGACGCGGCAAAAGGCTCGCCCGGAATTCGGGGTTTCGAAACGTGGCCTAACGTAAGAGCCTAAATAATTGCCTATACTATTTTGGGGGTGTTTCTTAGTAGAATTATAGTATAATGGGCCCCAAAACCCTATTCTAATTATGAAGGCCCCTACATTAATTTGAGCAGGTTGGTATGTTGGTGGCAGTTGAGGATCCGGTTTGTGTTTAGGGTTTAGGGTTTCCCTTCCGGGAAACCTTGCCAGCCTAAACGTTCTGACAAGGTAACTATAGTTATAACCCCAAGTAGGGTACTTATAACCTTACTTACTAAGTCCCAAGATCCTCCAAGTACGGTCAAGGTTCTCAGGCGTCCCCCCTAAACCCTAAACCCTAAACTCTAAACCTTTACTTACTCAGTCCCATGATCCTCCAAGTACTTGTAGCAGGATCACTGGATCCGGGAGCTCCAAAGTGCCGTGGGCCACGTCAGCGCCATGCGTGCGCACTGCGCCGTCGAGGATGCAGGGGGCCGAGAGGAGTGCGGTTTGCGGGTGCAAAATTCCTAAACCCTAAACCCTAAACGCTAAACCCTAAACCCGAAACCCGAAACCCTTGACCTTCGGATCTGTTCTGACATAGCGAGAATTGAGAATTGATCGGGAAGCCTGTCGAAAATACACGCAGCAACACTGCGTGCATCGTTCGGTTCGGCATACCCACTGCACCGACATACTGACGAAACTAGACGAAGCTCCTCCAAATTTCCACATCCTCCTCCCCGAAAGTTTTGGATCTGAAGAGGCTGCACTTTGGGGTTCGGGCTTGTTGGTGCATGCGGAGCGAAAGCAGCCCGCAAGAGCCAATTTCAGACAAGCTGGGCCTTTGCAGACATGTTTTTGGTTCGTGTGGTTTTTTTTTAACACAGTGCTCGCAATTGTCCCAAACAGTGTTTCATAACACAATATACCCCCAAATCCGATTCTAATTTTTGAGGCCCCTATGTTAGCTACTCGTAGCACCCAGTCCTTGCCGCCGGCCGCCGAAGACGACGTCCGGACGCTGAATCGGCCACATGGCAGGAGAGGGTTCGTTTTAAGGTTCTTTGAAGGTATGCTATATACATATATAATAAGATAATAATGATACTAACGATATAACAGATACTATACTTATACTTCTTATCATATGTAGTTACCAAAAAGGGTTCCTTCAAGGGTTTGTATCAGTCGTTACTCTAAGGGTGGCAGCATCGGTTTTAGGGTTCGGCGTCCGGGCGGAGGATTCAACTTTCTGAGGGTTTTTTGGTCCTGGGGAGAGACAAGAAGTACCTATAGTCTCCATTGTAGTTCCTTTTTGGGGATACCTTATAAAATCCTTAATATATATTTGGTTAAACCAAAAAAAGGAACTACAATGGAGACTATAGGTAAGGATGCAACTGCACATCCACGGCAAGCTGTGCCTGGTAAGCTAAATGGCGCTTGTGTAACCTGATATCTGATTGCTTGGGACGTTCATTGCAAGCAAAGGTGTCAACTTGGAGGATCATGGTACTTAGTAAGTAAGGTTATAAGTACCCTAATTGGGGATTATAAATATAGTTACCTTGTTTATAACCCTAGTTACTAAGTCCCATGATCCTCCAAGTAACTGCTGGCATGGGACGTTCATTGCAAGCAAAGGCGTCAAGGCCGGCATGTGGATTTTTCAATCAACCGCAGAGGCCCGACGCCAGACCGCTGAACACCATATGGGTAGTTCTCTAAACTAGGGTCCCTTTTTAGGTCCCCAATATAGCACGGCACCCTTATAAAAAGGACCCCTAAAAGGCACCCTAAGTTTGAAAACTACCCATATACCCGCCGTTCTAGGGCTGCATGGGAGCCGAAGCTTTACACAAGGTTCCTGAAAGACCTGCGCGAGCATTTGGAGTTAGACGCCCAAAAGGACAGGGGAGCGTTTAGGGTTTAGGGTTTAGGGTTTAGGGTTTAGGGTTTAGGGTATATATATATATATATATTGTATATGTATATGTATACACACACGTAAGCAGCCAGTAGCTGCCAGTAGCTTGAAGGCATTCTCGTCGAGGGGTTCAGGGCATATAAGTTGACGGGTAAGGCGGTGCAGTGGTTTAAAGCTACAGAGTTTGCGTCTGACATCCGTGACCCCAGGATTTCACGGAAAGATCCCCGGTGCGTGACCCAAGAATCCGAAGTTTCGGAGCAAACCGCGCACCTTCGAGAAATCCCGACTGGTGGTTGAGTTGATTGAGGGTTTTGAGGTTTCATGTAGGGGCCTAAATAATTACCAATACTAGTTTGGGTGTTCATTATTGCAATTATAGTATAATATGCCCCAAAACCGTATTCTAATTATTTAGGCCCCTATCTTAAGGTGTTTAAGGTTTAGGGTCTCGTCTTCGGGTTAGGGTTTCAGGGATGTGCATAAAGCCTGTGGGGACTTGACCTCGGGTTGCGTCGTCGAGGGCAAATGTCTTCCAAGCTGTATATGTGTCTTGTTGATTTTAGGGTTTAGGGTTTAGGGTTTAGGGTTTAGGGTTTAGGGTTTATTGTTGATACTGCGGACTTCCCCACCAGGGAAAACCGGAATGAAAATGCGGCTTTGCCCACATCAAAGGATCGCGAGATCATCCGTGGGCCCC